GCTTACCCTCTGGGCTCTTGTGATGTTTTGTTAAACAGATACTGAATTGAGTGCACGCAACGTCAAAGCAGCTGGAGTTTAAAAATTATGGCAGTGCTTGGGGAGGACAGTAATAAAAACATAAAAGTGTGTGTTTAGGGGAAGCAGAGAGGGACACGCATGGGCTCTGTCTGCGTTTTGTAAGGATGGTTCTTAGAATCACAGAATGGATTCATAGAATATCCTGAGTTGTAAGGGACCCACCAGGATCACTGTGTCCGATGCCTTGCTTCAGACAAGGCTGCCCAAAGAACAACTTTGTTTTTTTTTCCAAGAAGGACGTAAGAAACAACTCTGAAATGGCATCTGGCTGTCCCCAGAGTGCTTCCAGGGTGGGCAGAATTGGTGGAGAACAGTAAGGATAAGGAGGATGCTTTTGCCTTGGTGTGTTCCTTCTTTTTGGATCACACAGTTTCTTGCATGGGATAGTGTTGATGCTTTATAGAGCAGATGGAGCACACAGCAACGGGATCCAGATAGCCTGGAGGTCCTTGCTCTGCCTGGAACTGCCACGAAGATAATGTGACTGTTCCTGTGGAAGTTTTTTCTGATACCATATGAATAATCTGAGCCAGAAGTTTGTGGGGCTGATGGGGTGCTGTGTGTCTTCCAGTGGTGCTGTTCGGTGCAGCAGAGCCCCAGTACTGACAAAGATGAGCCTCCACAAAAGTTCAGCAGCATCCAAAGGGAGTTCTCATGTAGTGGCTTCTCATTCTGGGAGCAGCTGCAAGCCTAGCTGTGACCTCTCAAGGAGCTGCTGCTGTAGGGAAGGAAGCAGTTCAGCTGGTGGCAACTGGTGCTCTGCCTGCTGCCCCCTGAGATGCTGAGCCCCCCATGCAGCAGGTAGTGGCAGCGCCGAATTCTAGATGAACAGGAGGTATTCAGTTAAAAAAAGAGCCTGAGAATAATCTAGACTTTCCTGGAGAAAGGTGCTCTGGAAATATGAGAGTTGATCTAGGCCAGGATGTGTGATGATGCAGACATCTGAGTGCTAACAGAGTAATGTGAGAGACTAAAGTGTCCTGGAGGGCAGGAGCCAGAAGTCACTCATCAGTGAGCTTTGCTGAGCTTTCTGTGTTTTTGATCGCTGCATGGAAGCTGGCACTGGCAATCCCACTGAGGAAAGGATGGCCACCAGTGAGTAGATACTGAGTGTGTCGATACATCCCATTCAGGGCTCTGTCGTTCCTGGCAGCAAGAGAGAAGTTGTAGACATTGAGAAACAGCCAAGTCCTTGAGGTGCCAGGGCAGCTCCTTGCAAAGAGGAAAGCCCTGTTAGCAGGGTCATTGGCTCTGAGACAAGTCCTAGACAAGGCCCATCATCCCCGTGCTGTGATTTGATATACATCCCAGTGTCTGTGGGAGCAGTAGATTGTCCTTCAGTAAACCTTTTCCTGACAGTCACCCTTCTTCCATGCTGCACGCAGACTCATGAAGAGGATTCAGTGCTTCCTCTCTGCCAAGAGCAGTAATGCTTCCACACAGGGCTCTGCACCATGCTCTCAGATGGGCTCAGGTTCTGCTAGCTGTGCACAGTGGTGATGACAGGCAGCACAGCTGGTCCTGCAGCTGCCTGCTCACCAGCAGAGCAGAGGCAGCATGGCCCTGCAGGGAACTGGTTGCACCCATATCGCAAAGTCACAGACCATAAGCCTGGCCTATGGTCCCCCAAGTGCTTGATGCGCAGGGTGTTCATTTTAGGTTTTAACACACATGTTTTGTGGGTTGCTGTGTAAGGCTCTCTGGTATCTGTAACCACCACATTCACTATGTCATATGAGATGCCAGCTGAACACCTATTCCATCATGCCTATGAGCTCTTTAATGCCAGCACTTTGCATAGGATCTGATGGATACAGAGAAGAGCTGTGCGCCTGGCCCATCTTGCCCACACCAATCTGCACTAGGGACATCTCTAATACAATGTGATGGAACAGTTTAGAGGTCTTCATGGAGGAGAGCCAAGGTGAAAACCATCCAATCGCCTTTGCTGACTGGCACCAAAGCAGCAAATTTCTCTTTCAGGTTTCATCTGCCAGGAAAGCTACTGCTTTTATGAGTGTCCTAGTTGTTGACAGATAAGGGCAGGGAAAGCATGGGGACGAGGAATTGAGCAATAAGCCTTTCTGCCAAGGAATAAACACTGTCAGGCGTGGGAAGTGCTGCCCTCTGTCTCCACAGGATGTTTCTTGCTCTCATTTCTCTTGGCAGAAAATTCATTTCCTCATCACCCCTCTCCTCCCCTTGTCTACTTTCAGCTGCAACTTCTCCTCCCCATCACTTCTCCACTTCTCTCACCACATCCTCCCAGCAAGCAGCAGACTCCCCTCACTCTCTGCATGGGCTGCATATGGACATGGTGGAAACACTGCTTTAAAATTCATCATCCTGAAGGAAAAGAAGTGAACTTAGGCTGCCACTGGTGATGCTGTGAGAAGGAAAGGAGGAAGGTAAATGCATGTTCTTCATTCCAGCTGAAATAGGGTGATTTTACTGCTGAAAAAGGGGGAGTAAATGCAGCCTTATGGGACTAGAAGGGGCAGATGTGCTGAGCTTTTCCCATGAAATTATTGAAATAGGGCCTACTCCTGAAAATAAGCAAAGAAAGTCATTGCAAAGGGGAAGTACCATGTTAACATTACCAATGAGAGACTTAATTTCTGTTTTAGAGTTAATACAGCAGTTTTTATGATAACCACCTTTGAAGGGTTTTTTTCTTTATTATGGTTTTTCCCCTGACTGTGTATCAGCATTTTCTTCCTTTCAGGCTATTCTTCTACTCTCATACAAGGCTCTGCAGGTCTTCACATGTTTTGGGACACCCATGTGTTTGTGTGCTGTGATTTGCGACAGTTGGAATCTCACTTGCATTCATGAGCATAAATGCACAGTTATTGCAAGAAGGCCAGGATTCTGAGGGTTAACCACTGAACAAAAAGTTTATTATAAAACTAGTGATGGTGGTATTTTATGAGGCTGTTCTTATAGATTGTGAAATAGGACCAGATAAGCTCTGACTTCTCCTTCCTACTTACTCTCTCTTCTGCTCTCTATCCTAATCAGGCTTCCTCTTCATTTCCCCAAGCCAGCTGCATCCTCAGTGATACACTGACCATCTTTTCAGCTCAGGCAGGGTCGGTGAACGTGGTCTCTACCTGGAGCTGTGAGCATCAGCTACACAAAAGTAATTTCCTTCAGTTTGACTCTCAGGACTCGTCTCTCCATCTGCAGCATTTCAGTCTTGTAGAATCAATGTGTTATAGAATGGCTTGAGTTGGAAGGGACCTTAAAGCTCATTCAGTCCCAACCCCTGCCATGGGCTGGCTGCCCCCCACCAGCTCAGGCTGCCCAGGCCCCATCCCACCTGGCCTTGAGCACCTCCAGGGATGGGGCACCCACAGCTCTCTGGGCAGCTGTGCCAGGGCCTCACTGCCCTCTGAATAAAAAACTTCCTTCTAACATCTCACCTAAATCTCCCTTTTAGTTTGAAACCATTCCCCCTTGTCCTATCACTATCAGACTGCATAAAAAATCAATCCCCCTCCTGCCTGTAAGCTCCCTTCAAGTTCTGGAAGGTTGCAATGAGGTCTCCCCACAGCCTTCTCCAGACTGAACACCCCCAGCTCCCACAGCCTGTCTCCATAGGAGTGCTCCTCGAGCCCTCACATCACCTTCAAGGCCCTCCTCCAGGTCCACTCCAACAGCTCTGCATGGGGCCTCACGAGGGCAGAGCAGAAAGGGACAGTCCCCTCTTTTGATGCAGCTCTTTGCTCACCAGAACAGCCCTTCTCCCCAGGACTGCTCTCAAGGAGTTCATCTCCCACTCAGCACTCTTTGTAAAACTTAGTAGGACCAGTTAGTTACTTTAGTTTAAGTAAAGACTATTTAGATGCAATCCCTTCGAGACCATGAATAAAATATATTTTCCTTCCACTTTTTTTTTTCTTTTCTTTTTTTTCCCCCAGTGTGAAAGTTATAAAAAGCAATGTACTGAGTTATAAATGGTGGGTCTCCCATGAGTCCAGCTTTCGCATGGAGGGGTAGATCAGATCAGCTAAGAGGAAGCCAAACAAAACGGCAGAACCTGATGTTTTTTAATAGTGGAGTAATCCAAATCTTTGTTTTCAAGCAAGAGACGAATGCCTCCGTCAGATATTGTGTCTCTCTGGCTTCCTTGTTAATGCCTCCCTGAGCTGCAAACATTGGATGGCTTAGTGCTAAGTCTGGCTATCTGCAGGGTTAGCTGCAATGTAAACAGCATTGCATCAGGTCTTACTGGAGCTTTAGCCTAGTCCAGTGTACTGGACAGCCATGGGCAGCTGGGTACCCCAGTGGCAGGTTTTTAATTGTACAGAGGTGCTGAGCATTACCAGACCATTTGGCTGTGTTGCATCTCATTTTTGTCATCCCTGCAGAGGCACACAGTTTTTGTACTAAACTTCAAATCTTGCAAGAATATCTTTGCCTTTAGCTAAATTTCCATTTACGGTTTGCCTTTCAGGGGAGCTCATAACAACTCTTTTTTAAATTTTTTTTTATTTTTAATTTATGTAACTTTCTAAATCTGTTTAGGAGCTGAAAACCTGGCCAAAGCAAACATTGCCCCAGACAACATTCCTCCCCAGGCACAGGCAATGGAGGTGTGCAGTCAATAATGTTCTGAGGCTACCACAAGAACCTGTACAGACTGTCTGTTTACACCACATGGGCCAGAACTCCTGGGTGTTTTCACCCTTGTCTCTGGTTCTGACAGTTATCCAGCCATTTATTTTTGGTTATTGCTTTAAAGCCCTCCTTGGGAAAGCTCCTCCATAGCTGTACTTTCACTGTGTCATTTCTGTGTACGTGCTGCTAATGCTCTTTCTCTCAGTTACTGCTGCAGAGAAGAACAACTTTGAATAAAATGGGGCTGTAAGTCTTATTTAGTGGGGTGTGTGGTGATTTTAAGATTGCAGAATTTGGAAGATGGTACTAAACTGGAGGAACTGTTAACTCCCTCAAGGGTAGAGAGTCCTTGAAGAGTGATCTTGGCAGTCACCAACCACATGAAGTTTGAGAAAAGCAAGTGCCAGATTTTACATCTGGGACAGGGCAACCCTGGTTATGTACGAACTGGGGTACGAGAGGCTGGAGAGCAGAAAGGAGTCTGGGGTTTCTGGTGACAGTAAGTTGAATGTGAGTCAGCAGTGTACCCTGGCAGCCCAAAGCCAACCGTACCCTATGGTGCATCAGGCCCAGCACTGCCACTGGGTGAGGGAAGGGATTGCCCTGGTGGAACACACCATAGGAGGTGCAGTGGAATTACACATCACAGCCTGAACCAGCAGTTGAGCACTAGGTAAGAAGGCGTGGCTAACCAAGGGAGCTCAGGTGCAGGCAATGCACCTGAGTAATGAAAAGGAGCCTGGATCCCCCCCCTCCTCACTCTCATTTAAGGGTTAGCAGCCAAGGCAGCAACATTTCTTTGGATAGAGGTTGTTCTCCTCTTGAACTGCTGCCAGTCATTGGAAAATTGGAAGGGGTGAGCAAATTTTTTTTTCCTGCTATTACTCCATCAGGTTAGTATCCTGCTAGAAGGCACTGTTGTCACATTGTTTTGTCATACAGGAGGTGAGAGGAAGTAACGGTCTGCCTTCAGCTCCAGTGTTCCCACATTCTACAGCCACCATAAACCATACTGAGATACTCAAGGCTGTTCTCAGGAAATCACTGGTTCTCAGTTACTCATCCCATGCATCCAGCCCAGAGATCTGGGTGAATGGGATGAATTGTGTGCACGTGCATAGCATCCCATAAAGACTGGTGCGAGGTTAGTGACTCACCATAAACCCTTTCCACTCAGACGCTGAGATTTTGCTTGTGCTGGGCTACAGTCAGGTCTGGCTGGGAGTAGTGCTCTCCAAATTTCTATGAAGCTGACTGCTGTCACCTGTTAGCATTATGCCAAAATTTGGGTTTGGGTCTCCTGACTTGGTGAAGTTTGTTGGAGGGCAGGGGTGACACAAGAAGAAGGTGTTTGGGGGGATCTGGCAAACGCTGAGGCTTCCAGGAGTTTTTTGACAGATGCTACTTTTTAGAGAGAGGGAGGATGAACTAAGTCTGAGTCTGAACAAACCCAGAGTTGATCTCCTATGTAGTAGCAAGTATTTGCAGCTGAGGGTTAAGGTCAGTGGGTACAGTTGGAGGATGTGACGAGGTGAAAGAAGAGCACCTGGCCAGGAAGGTCTCTGCCAAGCAGTGAAGTCTCAGGGATCCTGTGAGATCTCAAGAGTGAAGGCTGAGATCCCTGGTGCCTGTAAAGGCCTTTGTTTGGAAGGGTGGAGTGGGGCAGTGTGGCCACAAACCAGCACGCTCTCTGGAGAGGAGGAAGCAGGATGTCTTCTGCACTGGGGAAGACACTGTGTGGCATTTTCAATTGCTTCTCATCCTAAACAGGTGTGTTGGCAAGGTAATCCTGACTCTTTTGTTTTTATGTATGTATTTTTCAGAGGACCTTTATCTCAGCTCTTCTGCCAGAACAAAGCACCAAAATGCAACCTGTGTCCCTGCACAGCCTTTCAGAGCTGGAAAGAGCCAGTTTGCAGGAGCTAGCCCTCTACCAGCTGCAAGAAAAGCTGCTTGTTGGAGATCTCAGCCTGGCTAAAGGTAGAGGATGGGAGAGGATGGCATCTGCCAGGGGAGGACTGAGGTCTGAGCCTTTAGTTCATTTCACCCACACTCCCGCATTTCATAATATAGAAATATATAGTCTATAGATTGATATTTGTGACACTTCCACTTAAGAGTTTTGGTCCATTTTTTGTTTGTTTTGTTCGTTTCCTGATTTGGTCTGAGCGTTGGAGGCTGAAGCAACCTTCTGGGGAGAGTTTGTGTGTTGATAGGAGTGTGAGAATATTACCCTGCCTTTGGTCCTCCTAATCCAAAACAGATGCAACATGATTTAGCAAGGTCTTCCAGCGGGGCAATTCCACTGGGATGGGGTAAGCTTTGTTTTGTGGATTAATGTTCAGCACAAAGCTCTGATGCTGAGATGGGGCTTATGCAAGACTAGAGGATATGCTTCTGAAATTAATGGGCAGATAAATATAGAAATTCCACAGAGACTATGGTCTTCTGTCCTGGCCTACAAAGAAATAAAGGCATTTTCTGGGTTCTCATAACTGCCTATGTTCCCTAACAGCTTAATGTCTAACCAACTAAGCACTATGAGCTGAGAATCAGTTGATTGCTTCTCAAATTGTACTTATAATTTAAAATGGAGCCCAGATACAAAAGCCTTCTCTATGCTCTGGGCCATATTTTGGCATCCCAGTATGGCAAAAGATGCTTATTAATCATGAGCTGTACGTGTAGTATCAGCAGAGCAGTTGGAAAGTGTGCTTGGGTTCTCCAGTCTCACTTCCCATTCACAGCATGGCTGTTGCCACCACTGATACAGGAGGATGGGGCTGGAGCCCCCCAGCTCTGGGGTGCTGCTATGGAGAAGGAGTTTTTTCTATCGCTCAGACTCATGTTGCATAGAAAGCAGGTGCCAGAATGTAACTGCATCTATTTATTCTGGGTGACATTCAAGTTTTGTTTCTTGTTTTATTACTATTTGGAATATTTTGGAACATTTCACTGCATGAAATATTTTCAAGAAGAGTGAAAGAGAAGAAAGTTCCCTTCTCATTCCCAGAATATCCAATCACCCCAGGGCTGCAGCAGCAGCCACTGCAGTTTCTTTCAGTCCCTGGGGCACTCTGTTCATAAACATTCTGCTGTCCCCAATTTGTTTGTTTTGAGCTGTTGTGACCCATTCTCAGTGATATCGTGCAGCAGGAGCTTCTCTACAGAACAACAGCAGGGTGAAAAGCAAATCAACAATTTCCTTCCGTGTCCTGCATTTTGTCAGTCAGGTTCCTCTCTTCCTGCATGATGAGCACAGGGAGTGTAAACTCCTGATCTCATCTTTGTGTGTGTTATGTATCTTATGTTCACTTGGTTTTTGAAGAAAGTGCTTTTCAGTGAATTCCTTTCTCCTTTATCCCTCAGCTTTCTACCTGCTATTGCCTTTTTTTTTTTTTTTTTTTCAGTTGGCTGGCTGGGAGTCAGTGTAAAAGATTAGATGAGAATTAGCTATGAAAGCACTGCACCTGCAACACTGTTCTCCTGAGTTGATGTATTAAAGGGAGGTTCATAATGTTTGGAAGTGCCTGAATTTGGACTTCATTGTCTCCATTTGAGTACATTCACTTGTCTGTGCTTGTTCCCCAAAAACTGCCTACATGAAATTTCTTTGATAAATAGCTCTCTTTAATAAACAGCCGCCATATGATTGTTATTACTTCCCTCAATGCAAACATGTTCAGCATTTTCTTTAATCCCCTCCAGGAAGGGCATACGCTGTGGGGAACACAGGGTGTGTGAGCCACTCTTTGGGACAGTTTTGATACTCCCTGAGCTACTGTCTGTCTTCAGTCCTTGCCTCGTTCAGTCCCAACAAACTTCTGTAGCATTGCAGACTTCTAAGTAAATAGCCACTTCCAGGATGGCTCTTCTGAACCGCAGAAGAAACTTTTGATGGACACTGTAATCTCATTTTGGTCAATTCTGCAAGAACAAGTCTGTTGTTCAAGTAGGAGAAGACCAAAACAAGATGAAATCTCTGAAGGAGGTACAGCTACCAGTGAAAAGAAGTTGTCCTTGTCTCCCGAGTTTGAAGTAGGTCAAATGCATTACTCTGCCACAGAGATAGCAGCACATGCCTTCTGTAGGGGGGGATCTGTGTGGTTTCTTTACTATCTGCTGCCTCCTGGTTTGTTCCTGTTAGGAACGTTTGGATGGCTCCAGGAGTAGAGAGTTATTGTGACTGTATGTTTAAACAGTGGAGTTTTGCTGGCATTTTTTCTTCTATATCTGGGTAGTGTTTTTGGCTCCAGGTTGTTCTTCAACTTCTTGCTATTCATTTAATGAAACAAAACATACAGTGCTGTACAATGATTAATGTACACTGTGTTTTCATGTACATACTGTTCATATCAAAGCAGCTTCCTTCTAAATCTTACAAAATAACCCAAACATTTATACGAGCTGCATCTAAAAATAGAATTCTTAATAAATGGCAAAGTCCAGAGTAGGATGATGTGTTCTGGGAAGATTTAGAGTGATTAATGAATGAGTTTTCAGTTAATTGATGCGACAAAAAAAAATGGTGACTAATGTTCCTGGATTTGCATCTCTGGGGTTACTTAAGTGTAGGGCTTGGCTATCTAGGACCAAGATGGGATTTCTGGGTGATGTTTTGTCTAATTTTTTTGTTTATATTGTGTAAAAAAAAAAAAAAAATCAGAAACAGTTATAGGGCTGTATTGCTGTATTCCTTTTCCTAGTGTTGAGACCAGACCTCTGAGTCTGAATTAAAGTAGCTTTCCCAGTCTTTAGGTGATGATGAGAACATCACTATTAATTCAGGATCACATGTAACATGACAGGATTTAAAGTGGTCAGAACACTTTTATTCTACAGCCTTTGGACAGCAAAAGCTTTTTCCACTGGCTTTTCATGTGCAAGAGCCTAAATGCTGGCTGCTGTCTGCAACATATCCCACATTCTCCATACTATCGCAGCATCAGGAGTGGAATGTGGGAAGCTGGGATGCCACCAAAAGATCAGCCGTGGTTCATTCTTTTTTGTAATGCCTATTAATTTGCTGCCTGCCTTGTATTTCATAAGCACTAACTAGCTTGCAGTTGTTATGCATTGCTGTATTACATGTCTTGCCTGGTAGCTGGGAAGGTGCAATAAGGTATGGTGTTGCCTTAAGCCATGCAGAAGGCTGGAGCAATTGCTGTGGCCACAGCAGAAATGCACAGAGAATGAAATGCAAGCAGGGATGGGAACACGTTATCCTGCCCCACACATGGGGCTCAAAGGTCTGGCCTTAATGCAGAAGGATGTGGGAAAGAGCCCCCACGGAGGGTTACTGCTCCCCACTATCATGCATGGGCAGTAATCTTCCATGACATGCTCTACACCAATGAAGGCTTCCTATGTGCAGCCTCATATACAGACAGGAGGCACTTCACTTCTGCAGCAAAATACTGGAACAGGTCGTGCTTTGCAGATGCCTCTTGCTGTTAGCCAGATAGGGGTGAGTCCCACACTTGAGTTGCTTTTAACCCACAGTTTAGTGCTATGGGATCCTGCAGTCCAGGTGTCAGGCTTCAGAGGGGCCCCTTCCTCCACTTCAAGAGGACAGTTGTCAGTTGAGGGACATGGTTTAGAGAAAACTATTGGTGATAGGTGAACTGGATGATCTTATAGGGTCTTTTCCAACCTTGATGATTCTATAATTCAATGACAGTAGTCCCCCACGCAGCTGATGCCAGTGTGCTGTCCTGCGTGGCCTGTAACAACACTGTGTCATGTCCACAGTATCCCCCTACCTGAAGGAGGTGCCTGTGGATGTGTTCTACCTGTGAGGGTGCAGAAAGGCAAATAGCTTCAACGTGGGACTGTGCCAAAGCAGCTTAATGATGCAGAATCTTTGTTCTTCTCCCCACAGTTGGACCTAGAGGCAGTAAATCTATCCGTCAGAAACTGGAGAGCTTTTCAAAGGAGAAGAAAGGTGAGAGCCTCCTTCTTATCAGGGTTTTGGTCACTACTCTCAGACAGAATGGGTGATTTTTAATGGGGCTGAGCCAGGAATCTGAAGTTAGCAAGGTGATTTGCCAGTGTTGCTTTGGTTTTCTCCAGAGTGTTGTGTAATGATGCATACATAACCAGGAAAGACTGTAGAAGGGTGTGTGTGTGTACAAATGTGTATGTGTAAAGGTGTGGGCTTGTCTACTTGTTCATTCAACTCCCAGTCTTGCTGTTTGAGTTCTGACTTTATTGTCCCTTGCAGGATGTAAACTAAAAAACTAGGAATAACAGAAGTCTAGTGCACAACCGGCTGGGAATGAGCACTTAATTTTCCTCACCAAAGCACAAAAAGTCCACTCAAGGAAATTTTGAGCAGCAATCTGATAATTTATAAAATGAATTTGTGGCTCATGCTCTGCTGCAAAACCCTTTGGTCCAGGGTGGCATGTATGCTGCAAGTAAGGAAAGGTCTTCTAGTATCCACAAGGAGTTGGGGGCGAGGGGGGAGGTGAATTATTTGTGGAAAAAGTCACATAATCACTTAGGTTGGAAAAGACTTCTAAGATCATCAAGTCCAACCATTAACCTAGCACTGCAAAGTTTACCACTGAACCATGTCCCTAAGCACCACATCTATACCACGTCTTTTAAAAAACTGGGCAGTGTGTTCCAATACTTCACAACCCATTCAGTGACTAATTTTTTCCAGGTATCCAACATAAACCTCCCCAGTGCAACTCAAAGGCATTTTCTTTTGTCCTATCTTTTTTTGCTTGGGAGACTGGCCCCCACCTCCAGCTTGATACCACTTTCTTTCAAGTAGTTGTAGGGAGTGATGATGTCTCACCCAAGTCTCCTTTCATCTAGCCTAAATAAGTTTCTTCAGCCACTCCTCATAAGAGCTGTACTTCAGAACCTTCACAGCTCTGTTGCCTTTTTCTGGACATGCTCTGGGGTCTTGATGTCCTTGTTGTAGTGAGGGGCCCAAAACTGAACATAGTGCTCAAGGGCAGACTCATCAGTGCTGAGCACAGAGGGATGATTACCTTCCTGATTCTGCTGGCTGACTATTGCTGATACAAGCTAGGATGCCATTGGCCTTCTTGGCCACCTGGGCACACTGCTGGCTCATGTTCCCCTGGCTGTTGACCAGTACCCCTGGCTCCTTTTCTGCCCAGCACTGTCATTAGTACCAAGACTGCCACCTCTGACATAGCTGATGCAAACCCTGTAGGAAACTGGAGATTATAATTTGTTTTGTATCAAATATGTCTGGTGACTTAAAATCTATGCTTCATAGATGGTATGGTGCCTTCATAGGGTTGCAACCAATAGAAGAAAAGGAAGTTCAGAAAAACTGAGACAAGTTGCAACAAGCATGTTGAGGAAGACTACCTTTGTTGCCATATTCCCTGCATCTCCTTCCTCTTCCTTTTGCATGCTGTCTTTCACATGGAGCTCTCCCCACTTAGCTCCCATGCTACCCAGCACTCTGAGTCCCATCACAGCAATGTCCCAGTCCTTTTCAAGGACAGCAGCTCCCCTTGGTTTTGCTCTGGCCTACTTGGGATGTTTCTGTGCCTGCTTCCTATGAAAATGGAGGAGAAACTGAGAACAGAGAGTGATAGTTGCAGGTCTGCCATCTTGAACTCTAGCTGCATGTCTCCTTTTCATGTACTGAATCAGTTTTGCATGCAGTACTGCTTACACTCTTGCTGGTCGTTACTATTACGGTAGCATGGTATTCTCTTCTGTGAGTTAATTATTTTACCTGGACGTGCACATGTGTTCTTGGCAGCTAGCTTGTGCTGCCCTGGTTGTTTTTCAGTGGTAACAATACTTTCTGTGTCTCCCGTGTTTTTTTCTTAGACTGCTCTCCTCAGACCTTTGGGATCCCACTGTGCCAAGTCATTGCCAATGACCGTGCAAACAGACAACTGCAAGAAACAGTGAAGAGCAGCCGCCGGCTGTGCGTGGAGGTGGAAAAAACAGTGACAAACTTTCGTGCTCAGATGCAGAAGAGATCCCCGCTGGGCAGGGGCTGTTTGCTGGTACCTTACGAAGTGTTCCCTGAAGAGCCTCTTTCCCCAGATTTTCCTGACCATAACTCTTCTTGGAGTCAGCGAAGGGTATGATTGCAGAAATGAGCTAACCTCTGTGGCAGACTCATTGTGATAGTATTGCTGGCTGGGGGAGGCTCAGGCAAATGTGATGGCTACTGTTCATGCACTCGGGGACTAATGCTACAAGTGCATGAACAGTGCTAGAAGAGATGGGCTATGAGGAGTGGGCCAGCCTATACTAGCTGTTATGGAGCCTCGGAGCTCAGGAAAGCCAAGGTCAGCAGAAGCACAAGGCCAGATTCCTACTACAGCAGATATGAATGGGAGTAGATTCATCAGTAGCGTAGATTTTTTCATACCCTCCATTGCATAACATTGTCTTGAGCAGTACCACCATCTGTTGTGTCAGATTTTTGGCAATGTAGCAGTTAGGGACAGGACCTCACATTTTCTGAACTCCCATCAGAAATTGATTGTTGATGGTGGGTCCTGCTGGCTCCCTGGTCACAGTGCAGGGTGAGACCCTTCTCACTGCTGGAGGAGCAATGATGCTGAGGTCTTCTGGTCTGCTTGTAGTGTTTGACTGTCTTTGCACCAAAAGGCAAGGAAGGTGGTGCAACTGGCCAGCACCTTGGCCACCTTGGCTTTAGTTCTGTTTTTTTTTGTGAGAGGATGTACATAGTAACTTGGATTAAGTTTGCTTCCTTTCTTTGGAGTAGAGACCCATCTCTGTCACATCCCTGTAAATCCTGGTGTAGAGAAACTCCAATGAAGGTGATTAAATCCAGTACATTGCATAAAGATGGCAGGTTTGGGGATGTTTCTTCTTTCCCCATGTCTGCATGCAGTATAGGCTATGTCCCAGTAGGAAGGCTGTTTTTAGAAACACCTCTAGGAACAGTGCACATAAATGAAGGCACAACAGTTGAAATGTGCCTCTGTGATTCTGTAACAACCCAAGTTAGACTCATTGTGGACCTCTATATTCATTCAGAGGCCATGCTTCTCTTTGTCACTAACTTCTGTGGTAACAACCACGGTGGTGTACTGGGGTCCTGTGGGACAGTTCCTGCCACCTTGTGAATCACCTCTGCTTCATCTCAGGGAGCCATGTCTGTGGACTGCATCACTGAACTGAGTGGCAACAGTTCCAAGCTGCTGGAGGCACTGCAGTTGTCACATCCCCATGAGCTGGATCCACGGAGGAACTTGGGCAAGAAAAAGATGCTAAGCCTCAACCCCATCACCTGGCAGGTCCCACGGATTGTGGACAGATGTTGCAAGCACATTGAAACATATGGTAAATAAGGATTTCCCTCCAGCCAGATGACCAGTCCCATAGTAGGATGGTAAAAGCCGTTGTAAGTGCTGGGCCAGGGCTGTTTGGCCTGGCAGTTCTCAGAGAGAAAAGAAGGCAGCAGATTTCTAGGGCAGAATGCACTGCTGAGCAGTCACCTGGGGAGAGTTCTCCAAGCTGGGGGTAATCGCTGAACTGAGAGGTGAATGTCACCCATGGGTATCAATCAACCCATTCCTAGTGTGCTCCCTTGTAAATCCAATTTATAGTTTGGAGTGACTTTAAGGTTAGATCTCCTCCCTGAGCCACAGATAACCCCAGCAAATCTTATAGCTCCCAAACCTTTCTTCTTATTCTCTCTGCCAAGAACAGAGAAAAACATGCTGCCTCATGAGCAGGGCAAGATAACTGTTCCCATGATGTTAACGTGCCCTGGTGCTACAAGGTGCTGTGGGAATGCAGAGCACTAACTTTCTGTCTCTCAGGTCTCCAAACGGTGGGCATTTTCCGGGTTGGGAGCTCCAAGAAAAGAGTTCAGCAGGTAAAATGAGGCACTCACTGCATCCTTTCTGCATTTTCATATCCACGGGATAAATGCTTGTATGGGAGGTGAATGAATGAAGCAGACACTGGCATATTGAGATCTAAAATATCACAAGAATATACTGGAGAACAAACAATCTGTAACCTGTTGAGTCCTTGGCCCAGTTCTGGATAGCAAGCTTCATCTCTCCAAGCTGCCTTTAGCAGTTAAGCCTCATTCATCTGATGGCACTTCAGAGTTCCCTCTTGTCAGTAGCAAGCCACTCTTGGGTTCTGGCATGCCTCCTTTCATCAGCTCTGTACAAGGAGCTTTTTTTGACAGCGTGACTGTTGGTTTTATTCTTCTCATTTTCACCTTCAAGCTGAGAGAAGAGTTTGACCATGGACTGGATGTCTTCTTGGATGAGCATCAAAGTGTTCATGATGTTGCTGCTCTGCTCAAAGAGTTTCTTCGTGACATGCCAGATTCACTGATTCCTAGGGAGCTCTACGCAGCCTTCCTCAGCACAGCCTGTAAGCACTCAGAGTGCATTGCTCTCTTTCTGCACAGTCCACCCGTTACTTCTCATTTTGTATGGGAAAAAAGGGAATTTTCTCCTTGTGCATTCACCAGGCCCCAGCACAGTTCAGCTTGCTATGCAGTATCTCAGCCCAGTGGTTTCCACTCTTAAGGGTGTCTTTGCAAATGTTCTGTCCAGGTCCACCTACCCTCCATAGTTAGGGTGACTGCATTTTTAGACCGTCTCCACTGCTATTACTCTCATACCTTCTTGGTCTGATTCATCATCTCTTTGTCTCTCTTTCCCCTCCTTTCTATCCTTTTCTTCTCATATTTGATAATTCAAATCCTGGATTCTCTGTTTCCACATCAATAACTAGATTATAGTCTTACTGGCCTAGGACAGTCTTTGGCCATGGTCTGCACAGTATTAAATGCAATTACATCCCTGCATAGGCAGGATGAAATACTGGCTTTACTGATTTTACTGTAAAGAGTAGAACCTGTCTGGCTCCCTCCACAACTTGTTACTGCAAATTAAAGTAGAACTGTCCAGCTGGAGATATATGTCTAGCAGACTGGGAACTGCACTAAACAATGACCTTCTCTCTGTCCAGCCATGGAGGGCCCACAGCAGCTGGCTGTGCTGCAGCTGCTGCTCTTCCTGCTGCCCCCCTGCCACAGTGACACGCTGTACCGTCTCCTGCAGTTCCTCAGCAAGGTGGCACGGCATGCTGACAACTCTTGGGGCCCCAATGGCCAGGAGGTAAGGCTCATACACAAAGCTCAGCTCTATGGCATTAGATTAAACAATCTAAGGATTGTTTAAACTTTGTTGATGAAGATCCTGCAAAAGTAATTGCAAACTTGGCATAATCCTTTGACACCTGGGGCTTGCAATGACTCTCTCCTGTGGATACTCTTGAGCCAGCCAAAGGCTAAGGAGTTTTGTGCATTTTTAATTCATCTGAATAGAACAGTGGCTAAAGGTGATATTCCAGGCTGGCCTATACTGCACACCTGATGCTACTCTGTCATACAGGTAAGGTTCTGGAACGGGTTTTGTTTTTACAGAAACTAGGGCAGGCAACATCTTAAAGCAAAGGAAGAAAAACCAGGAAAAGATAAAGCATGTATTTTCAATTAATTTCCTTCTCTGTGGTGAGTCTAATTTGCTCTCAGTTCCGTTTTTCTGGTTTGCAGTAACCCCAGGCTTTTCCAACTCCAACTGTCATGAGGAACTTATCATGATTCACTGAGGTTGATTTTGGTTTCTCTGGACAACTTGAGCTCTAGGGCTCCTCGTGATGCAAAGAGATTGGTTTTGTCCCAAACTGTAACATGATGTCATCTTCTTGTACAGCTTGTCAAAGTGAGTTAGGTGGGAATGATGCAAAGAAAGGCTGCACCACGCAGCCTTGAGGTTAGCCCTATGTTCAGAAAAGACTGAGCTGGACCCAGGTCAATTTTTTTTTGTCACTCAATAGCTCGTGTTCCTGTGAGGCTATCCTGGGATATTGCATGCTGCTGCATCTGCAATTCTCCTTTGTTCTTGCTTACTAGATTCCTGGGAATAAAATGACAGTTTCAAACTTGGCCACTGTCTTTGGTCCCAACATCCTTCAGAAAGAGAGGCCTGGAGAAAAAGATGCTGGAGCCATGAACTTTGAAGACAGTACAGCTATCATACTGGTAGTTCAGAGGCTGATTGAACACTATCAGACCTTGTTCACGGTAGGTGAAGCTTTCTCATATCATCTTCTCTAGACCTTTTCTTCTCTGAACTCTTTCCTAATGGTTGTACGAAGATATACTCACAGCCCCACTTAACAGCAAGTGACTCGAGGTGACTTGCAGAAATGTGATTCATTCCTCATGGTACATGTAAATATTAATTTGGGATGGGTTGTTACTGGTCTCATAAAGACTGAGCTGAGGGCGATACCACAAACAGGTCATAGAATCCCACTGATTCATAGATCCCATCTTTTCTGTCACTTTTTACCCACACAAATAACTCCTTTGGGACAGGAAACAACCAGCCAAAAGCTGCTGGAGTGGCACCTCAGTACTGTTTCTCTCTCAGGAGTCCCAGTGAAGGAAGAAAAAAGGTTGGACTCCTAGAAGGAAGGAGCTAGAAGGTGATGGTGGGAGGTTCAGATATTCTAACCTCAGGCAGATGATGGGAAAGAAGTAACAGTAGGCTGCCATGAGCAGTGTCTGTCCATCTCTCCTAGGTCTCTCCAGAAACACAGCATGACATCCTCAGGAGACTGTTTCAGACAGACCCCGATGTCATTGACTACCTTTTGCGCAGGAAATTCAATGCTGTGCTGTAAGTCTCACTCAAGATATAGCTGGAGGGCACCCACCTGCCCAGTATAGTCACAGCCATTGCACTGCTGGCAAATCAACGCAAATCCTGCTGATTCTTCATACACTTCATCACCCTTTTTCGTGTTCCATCTGCCAATAACACCTTCTATGAGGTGAAACATCATGGTTTCTCTCTGTCCCTTGGAGCTTCTGTTTCTATTTCTCCTTGATCTCTGTTTTGCTCTCTCCATTAATGAAGTCTTTCCTGCCTCAGAATTTCTCCACTACACTTTTGTTGTGTGTATCTACACATCCCTTGTCCTGCCACACTCCCAGTCCCCCCACTGCTCCATGCTCGACACTGGTGTGTGCTGCGTTTTCACTACCTGCATCACTATCTACCTCCAAACTTCCTTCATCCTTGGTGTTGTCTGCACTTCTGCTTATTTTTGGCCCCTCCTGCATGCATGTAAGTAGGCATGTGCCTGTATCTGTTTATGTGACTGCCAACTATGTTTGTACATGTGCTCCTTTACTGCAAGATAGGGTAGTCCCATAGAAGGCCAGAACTTGAGCTTGTGTTTTTCCTTGTGATTAAGAAAAAGGGTTTAGAAGGACCCTGTACCTCATGGGCTGGGCCTTTATCATGTCGTAACACAGGGAGGTACTTTGCTCCCCTGTGATTTGAAGGAGGACTTGCTCACCAACCTTCAGTTTCCTTATAAATCCAGGCTCTCCTTCAATGTACACAGAATGTGTGAAATGGTTTCCTGGAGCAGTGATCTTACAAGTAGTCTCTGCCACTGCTCCTTGTCTTACTTCACATTCCTATTGGTGCTGGTCAAAGAGATGACAAACATTTGGGGTCAACATCTCTCTTTTTCTATTTCTTCCTTTTTTAGGCAAACAGAAAGTGAGAATTCAACAGAGGAGCATACTCCAATCCTGATGCCTGATCAGACCCTGGAAAGCAACTCACTCTCAGAGCTGTACAGCAACATCTCATTCCTGAACTTGAACATTGGCATCTAGCCAGACCTCAACACTGCCTTCCATGGACAAAACTGGGCAACATTTCCACTACAAAAATATGTTCTCTATCCTACTTTGGAGGAGCGGAGAACAGAAGGGTGCATGAATGTATGCAAAAGTACCTTTGCTAACTGTAGGCATGCAAAAATGGTACTGGTGTAGTCAGTTCTGCAGCAGAATGGATTTTCAGTTACAGCTTCGTTGCCTGTCAGCTCACAAGGATAGGGGTGGGAGAGAAGCAGCTTGGGCTGAGACCCACTGGGCATGACTGGCCTGAAACACAAGTGAGTGGAGACTGCTAGTAGGGCAGTAAGGATGGAAAAATGCAGTTCAACTTCATGCAGTCTGTACTTGGATATGCCACTCACCTTGTGTTGTCCTGTCACCGCTTTGTGCAGAAAGATATCTCAGAGCTGAAGAAATGACCATAACCCAACAGCACCGCTATTGCAAAGATCTACAGTGTGCCATGTTCAGAAAGAATCATGGATATATGTATATTTTTAAATTTTGATTTCAGGTTTCCAACTGCTAATTTTATAGATAGAAAACACAGTATTGACCACAAAATATATAGGTAGTGTAGTACAAGGGAAAAGTATACTCTGAACATCTTTATTCCTTGAATAATATTCAGTAAGTAGATCTAATGTATTATAATGTATTACGGAAATTGAGTGTCTCGTGACCTTTGGCTGATAAATGTCTGGTTTGTTTTTTTCCTCCATCTGAGGCATTGGAAGGCACTGCAAGTTACATGCAAATGTATGTTTTTAGCTGATGGGATAAAATGAAAGTTATCAGCAAATATTTTCTGCGGTTTTCTTTCTACTTACTCTGCTAGACATGGCTGGTGGCCCCTTCCCCAGTAAACCCCTGGGTTGGGCTGTCCTTAGGTGAAACAGCAGCTGAAGGTGGGGTGCTATGGAAAGCCTTCCCCAGACCTTCAGGTAGGCCTGATCCACAGCCAGCGTAACACAGGATAAAGCTGCCCATGGTGTTCCCAGGCTTGTTCTTGCTTTGTTCACACAGCGGATATCTGGAGGAGGGGAAGCTCCTCTTCTGAGATCAGTTAATCACATGTGGAAGGCCAAACTTTCAGCAAGCACAGGACAGAATGTCCCAGTGAACAAGGAGTAGGGGCTGAGGCAGAATTTGAGTCTGCAGGGAAGAGTGATGTAAATACAGATCTAGAGGGTGTGCTTGTTTTCTAGTTGCTAGATTAGAAGGCAAGGCTGAAATAAAGGAGCATAGGATGGGGAATGACTTTAGATTTGCAAGTTCTTTGAATGAATCTGTCTTATCTAACAGTTCTGTCTTGTCTTCAGGTAAAGGCTTATGCTCTGGAAGTGATACAGCTTTGGGTATTGGAAGCCTTTCGGAGGGTTAACTGTGTCATGCCATGATATGATGAAAATGTTTACCTTTGTGCTCCTGACAGATTCTGACCTCTTCTAAAGGCTGTTTTCCTGATATGGTACAAAGATGGCATATGTGGAAAGAGAGGTCACAGACAAGGAGACAACAATGCTGTAAACTGCACAGAACACTTTTTGTCTTTTATCTGTTTTTTGAGATAATGAATTTTATATTCTCTTGGCCTGAAATGTCAATGATTGTATTCACCATTAAGGCTTTGCTTCCAAGAAAATGCAGAGTGCCAAGAAGAGGGCAAGCACATAGGAAGTTAAGAGATGTGGTGGGAGAACAGATGCCTAAAGGAGTGCTGATATAGAGAACTAGGACAGACAGGTAGGGAAGGAAGATGGGTAAAGCTGGAGTGCAGCAGAACAGAAAGGAGGCAGGGTATGAGATATGCTGGTATTTTTTGGTGCTGGGGAAAGAGGGATCTGGTGTCACAGCTCCTCTCTTTTGGAAACCCTGAAATCAACTGCAAATCTATTACTTATTCTGGAGATAGATCATGAGATACACAATGATACTTATTTTCTTTGAACTGTGGAGAAATTGAGTGGATTTAACTCAGGGCACAGTTTGCCCAGCTCCTTTTGCTACTTGTCCTATAGGTCTCTGCTGACCTGACGTGTTACGTTATATTTAGGCAGCACTGAGTTTTTCCTGTGTGATGGAAACTTCTGGTTAGTAATTAATTTTATCTTACCTCTTTGAGTTCATATACAATTTGAAACTCCTCCAAATGCAGTCTTTGCAGGGAACTGATTAAACTTATCTGTACAGAAGCTCCCATCCCATCAGAAGCACTCCCTCATCAGCACTGCCACCCACTGACGTATGGAAATATTTTTTGTTTGCTTGTTGCTGTAGTTTGAATGTCTTACACTGCCATGTTGGGTAGAAGCTGATGTACTTCGCACCCCTTCCTCTCCACAAAATGGCTGAAAAATAGAAGACTACTTTTGAAAAGGAACAGTGCCTGAGTGCTTGACAGAACTGTGCCTTAGGGATAGCAAGGAGAGGTAGCGTGTTGGGACTAGAGATGAATTGCCAAAGGAAGACCAAAGTCATCTGGGGTTTTCACAGCCCAGATCCTCTTGCGCACTCCACACAGCGGTTGCACCACCTGGCAGCTGTTTGAGAAATGCACTGCACAGGTCCCTGCACGAGATGTGCTGTTAATGCTGAATTTCCATGTAAGGTTATGGTCATGTCCTCCCACTTCCAAGTTTTTGAGTGAGTTGAAGCTTTCTCAGCATAATTGAATTAATTTAAGGATGTTTTGATGTGAGGAGAGATGAATAAATGCGCGCTACTAGTTTCACTGATAAAATCTTTTTTCCTAGGACTAATGGCAGGTATATGCTTAGTGTGTGTTCAGTGGTAGAAATAGAGCTAGGGTTAATTTTAGGTTAGGACTGATAGGGATTAGTAATGGGATTAGGGTGACTATGGGGTTGAGATAGACTAAATATTTGGGCCTTTTCTGATGGAAACAGTTTGTATATCTCTGCATGCTCAGGTGAAATTTGTGACCACGGGAAAACACTTTGGGGTCATGCAAACAACAGAAGTAGGTTTTCATTACGGATTAAGCTTTGTTTTGTGGGCATAATTAAAGTGCAGACCTGTGTGCTCCAGCACTTCCCTCACAGCTCAGTTCATGTGTCCCACACTTGTCATTGCAATGCTTGGCTTTGGCCATCCTTTTTAGCTTCAAAACGATTGTTAATGAATACATGATCTTTCTGGTACCAGGCAGGGAGAGAAGATATTCCACCGTAGCCTCATCTGTCCAGTGCATGATACCTGCATAGGGTACTGCATCTTTGCAGCTGCACTGCTTGGGTTTGAAATCTTGCTTTGAAGAGGTCTTTTTCCTGTGGATGGGTACACTCAGAATAGATGGGGAAGCAGTACCCAGAAAATAGCAGGCTAAAGAAGGATGAGTGTGCTGAGAGATAGCTGGTGAAAGCCTCCCACGAATCCAGAGATTAGCAATGCTGTTGACTCTGCAGGAACAGATAAACACAGGATGCCATGAGTTTGCTAAATGCTCCTGGGGCCATCAACACTGTCAGGCAGCCAATGGCCAGCTGTGCAAGCAGGATCATATCCAAGAAGGCAGCAGAGCAGCTGGTCTGTGCCGACAGATGCAGGATTATACCTGGTGCAAAAGCAGACCCTTTGGGGGACCTTTCAATTTCTTCCTGAAAGCCTTTGGCACATCAGTGAGACTATCTTCAGCCAACAGCCAGCATTGGTCTTGCTGTCCCCACGGAGTGTGAGTGACAACTTATCTTGTGTCAGCCACAACAGCTTGAGTCTGTTAGCAGCACTAATGAGGATAAGGTCTTCTAGTAACCAGTGCCCTTGGTGGCTCAGGGCAGGGGTTTTACGGCAGTTGGACACCATTTCCATGAAACCCTCAAGAGACAGCACTGGGAGGGAAACAGATCCTCAGTTTGGGAGGAGTGGTTACAAATATTCATAATTTTGACTTCAAGAAAAAGCAGATGATCTCTGTCTTTAAATGAACATAAGGACACTCAAATCATCATGCCCATGTGACACCTGAGTCATCATATTTTTGTCACATTGAAATATGAAGTGTTGGACACGTGGGGAATAGATAGGCAAGTCTTGCTTAGTGCAGCAGGTTGATGGGATATCCTGGGAAGGGCTGTCCTAAAGGAGTGTCATGTATGGGATTCCCCGGTGACTGCGTAACACATCTGGTGGAGGAGGTTACAAAAGAGGCAAAGGAAAGACACAAGTGTGCAGTGGTAACAGTGGCAAGCTGAAGCTTGAAGATGCCAGCAAAACACCAAATGAGAAGTGCTTTGGGGAAATACATTGCAGAGCCAGACCAGGTTTGAAGATGTGAGTGACATTCAGGCTGTGTGTTTGGCTGACAGCTGACACCAGAGTAGCATCGAGCAATCAATGTGCCTGGCCCCTTTGGAAGCCATGCTTAAAAGCAATGAAAAGTTCTCTATGCCCTGTAGAGGCACCCCGGCAGACAAGCTGGTTGCACTCAGATTCATTTCAAACGTGTGCACAACGCACACCCTGTGTTTCATGTGCTGCTCCCCACGGGCCAGGGGAAGAAGTGCATTTTCAAAAGCATCACTATGTGGGGCACTTAATTCTAGTTCTTGATTATGTTAACCTGAAGGTGATGGCTATGATGAAACACTATTTGCTTTGCTTTGCAAGAAAATTCCTTTTAAAGTTTGCTTGCCAAGCACTGTATTAGAGGACAGCGGCACTGAGGGTTCACTGAGAAGCAAGTAGTGGCTGTCCTTTGCAGCCACTGCAGAGAAATGCACTTTTCAAAGATTAATTATTATTTTTTACAGGAAAAAAAAAAATCTCTTTTAGTGTAAGGTTCTTCCACTGCATGCAAGGCTTGAAACTTCACTGGCAGGGGATAAACACTGGGATGTTGCTGAAAGCTCCACATGAGGGCAGCTGTCACCACTTGTCTCTGTAAGTGCGCTGCTTCCTCTCAGCAGCATGAAGTGCTCTTTCAGAAGTGCAGCAGCAGACACTGCCTGGCACGTGTGCTTGCATATGACTTGTTCTATTTCAGCTTCCTCAAACAAACAAGACTTCACGAATCAGTTGCAGAGCACTGTTATTCCTGAAGCACTTTGCCTGATCCTTGCTCAGCTGCTGCCCCAATAGGCCTGCTCCTCAGAAGAGATGCAGACACAAAGCTGAAGGATAGAAGTAATGCTAGATCCTGGCAAATCTGCTTGGCTTTTGCCATACTTCAGTTTCAGCCTCTTTTACCCTCCTACCCACCTGAATTTGCAAACTGCTATAAAAATATGTTTTAAAACAGTTGGAAATTTTGTCTGGCTGTTTGCAGCCCTCAGGTACCAGGACAGAGTGATGCTGCTGGGGGCAACTGTGGGCTGCCTGCTCACACACTGCCAGAAACAGTTTGGGCAACGCAACACCAGAGGGGTTTTACAGCTAGTCAGCTTTAGAGGTCTTAAGAAGGTTAGAACTGGTAGAGTTCTGCAGCACAACCAGCCCGAAACTGGCTGTGGGCCAGCACTCTTGGGGTTTAGTAGGAGGGGAATTGCCTGGGGTTTCCAGCCTTCCCTGTACTGTGTTATTTACAGTGAAAACCCCAGAGCACAGTATGGCAAATCGGAGCATGGCCAGTCCCAGTGCAGCATAAAGCACTGCTGTAATAACTACTTGCTTCTCAATGGCCAACATGCAATTTCTTCTAAATACAGGTTCTGCATCATGAGGGTTAAGATCATATTCTGTGCCACTCTGCATTGAAAGGAATACAGGGACACTGGCTTACACCCAGAAACTGTCAGCTTTAGCTGATAGTTCTGTACGGGAGTAAGAGCTAAAGAAAACTCCAAATGAGCACAGTTAGAAAACACAGATGTGCTTTTATTTTTTTCTTTTTCTTTTTTTTTCCCTCTGAAGTCCGTAGTGTCCCTCTGTGACCTGCTCATTCACCCAAAGGATTCTCACTTTGATTTAGGGGTGGCAGAAAGCAATCAGAGCTCCCCATTGCCCCCTGAGACCACCCAGGTGATGGGGATTGAAACTACAGACAGAACCCACCGATCATCCTAGAAGCAGAGAGGACGGCACAGCTTTGAGATCCCTCTGGATGGCAGTGCACTCCCCTGCTGTGCCTGCCACTCCTCCCAGGCTGGTGTCACCTGCAGCCCAGCTAGGGTGCACTCTGCCCCAACATCCCATCAGAAGAGATGTAGAACAGGATAGCAGAATGGACTCCTGGGGTGCTCTGCCTGATACTACCCCCCAGTTAGCCTTTGTGCCACTGATAACCCTCTGGGCTCAGCCGCTCACCCTTGCTGTAGGTCAGTTTTTCAGGTCAAGCCAAAACTCAAGCTCACCATCGCCACTCCGTGACAATCACAGGCAGCGGCCTCCTGGAGGTTAAAAGCTGTCTTTTGGAAGAGCAGGGCTAATGACTGGTACGGGCAGCTGGCAGGAGATGCTGAGGACCGCAAGCACGTAGCCGACCTCCAGCCTAGGGCCAACCGCGCTCGGACAACCGCACCGGGAAACAACGCGGAGGAGGAGGCTGGGCTGGGCTGGGGGGAAACCCGGGGAGACCCAGACCGGAGCTGCGGCAGTCGCACCTCGCTCCCGGCGCTGCCCCGGCCCCGCCCGGTGCCGCCGATTGGTGCGGAGCGGCCCGCGGGGCGGCGGCGCTGATACAAAATGCGCCGCCACCGCCTCTGCCCCGTCGGAGCGGGTCGGGGAGGTAAGTGCGGTGTGCAGCCGGGATCCCGCTCCTCTCCGGTCGTGGGGAGCCTGTTCGTGGGGCGCTGCGGGCTATGCGGTCTGTTGGTCGCCAGTCCGGGACGGCTCTCGAGGCTTTGCCCGGTGCGCGTCCTCAGCCCCTCACTGCCCAATGCTTCCCTGCAGCCATGTCGGACGAGCTGAGCGATCTGCTGCGGGAGTTCGATGAGGTCGTCGAGGGCTTCGACAGAGGCCCCGCGAGTCAGTATGAGCGGCACTTGGAGGAGCTGAAGAGGAAAGCGGGGCACAGCGTGTACGACAGCGGCATCGATGAGCTGGAGAGTGAGTGTGGGGCTGCGGGGGAGGGTGGTGTTCCTGAGGGTGGAATCGCTTTGAGAGCTCTGGGGCTCTTCCATGGTAAAACACGAATTTTTCTGCTGGTTCAGCCCCTGGGCTGCCTGTCTGACCCGACTCGTGGGCAGGATGAGTAATGTGGTGTCTGGGAGGGCTGGGTCCTGGTCCAGGGGCTGCCAACATCTGCTGGTACTGCTTCTGCAGAGCTGTTTGAGAGAACAGGGAAGATCATGCCCAGCAACCTACGAGCGTTCCTTCTAGCCAGGGAGGAGTGGACAGATTGAACAAGTGAGAAAGTAGCCCAGAGTCCTGTAGCGTGCACGGGGTCGGTCCCTGGTTCTGCAGTCTATTTACTGGGTGCCTCTGGCCTTGGGCAGTGAATGATGCTTTTGCACCCACAGGTACCAGCACATCCCCAGCAAGCAGCTTGAACTCCAGTGAGGAAGATCTTAACACCCACACTGGTCCTTACTCCTCTAAAGGTAAGGTGAGAAGGTCTGTCTGAAGGGCTGTTTGCCAGTTTCCCTGCCCCGCATTGGGGAGGTGTTACAAGCAAGTGAAGGAAGTTCTGTGCCTAGTAGTGGATTGCTGTGCTGCCACAGTCATGCTCCCAGAGCCTGGGTATGAAACTGGGAGCAGAGAGGATGGGGTTGGTGGTCTGTGAGGAGACAGCTAGTTCTCAGGCATGGAGATGTGTGTCTGTAGTCAGTTAGCCCTGGGAATTTCCTTTCCATGCTGCCATTGGGTAGTGTTGTTGTGAAACCTTTTTCCCAGAGCTCTGCCAGCTCTGATCTGTGTGCTCCTCACCTAAATTGGAGGGGTGTTGGTGGAGGGGAGTGGGATGAAAGAGGGCTGATGGTGTCTTTCTATCTGCTAGCTAAGCTTGGAGACACGCAGGAGCTGGAGGAGTTCATTGCGGATCTGGACAAAGTGTTAGAGGGTATGTATGTGGTTTTGTCCACCAGGCTTTCCCACAGATATGGGACAGCCTGTGACATTATCAGTGTGGTTTCTGCAGAGCTGTCTGTGCTCTGACAGTGGTGTGGAGTTGGGGTATGACTTTTTTTTTCTTATCTGAATATCATTACCACATGCTTTCAAGCTCTTTCGAGTGAGGCAGAAATTCTTCTGCGTGAGTGTCTCTGGCACCTCAGTTTCCCCAGCTATTGAAGTGGAGGTGGCAGTACTGCCCTCAAGGAGAGCCCTAGTGACATATGCCTATTGGAAATGTCCCATGAGGAATGTGAGAGTTCAGGCTGATAAGTACCAACTAGCACCTGCCTGGGGAAAGGCCCAATGGGACACAGACAGTGAGCAAATCTATCAGAGTAGAATGTTGGCAACTGCAGAACAGAAACCACTTTGGATACTGTGTGCAGTGGTGGAATGTCTGAAAGCACAGCTGGATTGTGATATCACTCTGCAGATGCTCCCTTACTGACACAGGGCTTGGCTGCAGGTGTCCCTGAAGAGAGTGGTAGTGTCATGCTGAGTCTCTCTGGCTGGCTTTTTTGGGCAGCATCACAGTATTGTGAGGTTGGCCCTAGCTGGGATAACTGAGGCATGGGGGTCATCTTTTCTATTTTCGCCCTCCCCAGTAGGTCTTGGTTCCCAGTATCTGTTCCCATCAGTCAACTCATTTTGGATGTGCAGAAGGGAGGGGAAGGAAGTGTTGCTTCTGCTGGCCCTGAGTAATACTTGGAGTTAGTAATGAGGAAAGGGAGTTGCAGCCCTGTCTGCAGATTTCTGCTCTAACCCTTCTGTTGGTGATTCTGGGAGCAGGCGTCGGGATATCCACTGTACTAATGCATCCCCTCCAGCTATGGTCTCACTACTTTTCTTTTCCATCTCATTGCTTGTCCCATAGAGATGTGAGATGTGGTTTTGGTGGAAAGTTTGAAGAAGGATCCACAGCAGATACACCTAGTGCCTCCCTGATGCACCCAATGCTTCTGTGTCCCTGCCATCCTGCAGCTGAGTGGGTAACGGCTCCTCTGTGCCATGACATGCTATTTCGTGCCAAGGAAGGACAATCCCAGCCACAAACACGGACTGATCCTGCCATGACAACTGTTTCTTGCTCCAGCAGCAGGCGAACTGGGATGTGTTTCTGGTGCTGTGGGGTTGGGGACAGCTGTGCTTGTGCCAGTCTCATGGCACTGGCAAACTTAGGCCTGTATGTTCAGCTCTGCATGTTCATGGCACCCTCAGACAAGGAGAAGGAGGGGCTCCCCAGACCCTGGGGTGTGGGCAGGGCAGGCTGGCATAAAGGCAGTGGGAGCCTGCAGATGGTCCTCAACATTATTGTGGACACAGCCATGGAGTGCTTTCATCCTTGCCTTAGGTCTGCCACGAGATCTGCTGAGGTCTGCTGGCTGACAGCTGTGAATGATGACATGGTCAGCTCTGCTTTAGTTGTTGGGCTTCAGTCTGCTTCCAGAACAGGACTCTGCTGGCACCAAGATATGAAACCCTCTTGGTGAGGGCATCAGGCTATGCCCTGAAAGAGGGGCTGCTGACCAAGTGGATCTGGGGAGTTTATTCTCTGGATTCAACAGTGGTATGATGGTGACATGGGTGAAGATCAACTCGCAGTGCTTCACTGACACCTTGGTGTCCTCTCCTGGTTCAGGAAGCTTGTTCCTGCAGCAGTATGTCAGGCAGTGGCAGCCATTGCTGGCCTGTTGCTTCTCATGGGTATCTGTAAATAAGGCCCCTGCCTGGACCCCAAGTGCCTCTACCCTGACTTCTGCTGTCAATACTGTAACAATGATGATGTACACTGTACAGTTAATATATTTTTATGAATGGGATTTTAAGTCTCTGAGTTTGTCTCTGTGTTTTTGACCTGTTCCTGTGAGCTTATTTCATCTCTGGAGCTGCCTGCAAAGAGATACTTCTCGCAGCCCTCGGTGCTGCCCCTGGGCTATGAGGGATTGAGGATGCTTAGAATGAGTTAAGTAGCCTTCTACTGGCTGAAGGCAGGTGGGAGACTCAGACAACCAGGGGATCCACTGATGTCTTTGTCTGGGCTTAGGTTGCCTGTGCCTGGATGACCCAGAGCATGGGTAGCTTCTGTTGCTGTTGGATTTATCCCTGAGCCCCTGCTATCTATAGGACCAGTTTGTGCTGTGCTGTTCCTGACAGAATCTGACAGAACTGCAGGGGTTATAAGGGACCTCAACAGAATACTCCCCCATTAAAGCATGTTTCACAGAATTACAATTGGCCAGGGTTGGAAGGGACCTCAAGGATCATGAATCTCCAACCCCCCTGCCACATGCAGAGCCATTTAATGGGGAGCCATTTAATACTAGACCAGGCTGCCCAGGGCCCTATTCAATCTGGCCTTGAACACCTCTAGGGATGGGGCATCCACAACCTCTCTGGGCAGCTGTTCCAGCACCTCACCACTCTCTGTAAAGAACTTCCCCCTAACTCCAACCTAAATCTTCCCTCCCTCAACTGAAAACCATTTCCCCTTCTCCTGCAGTTATCTACCCTTTCAAAGAGTTGATTCCCCTCCTGTTTGTAGGCTCCCTTTAGGTACTGAGAGGCTGCAATGAGGTCACTCCACAGCCTTCTTTTCTCCAGGCTGAACAAGCCCAGCTCCCTCGGTCTGTCTTTGTAGGGGAGGTGCTCCAGTCCCCTGATCATCTTTGTTTCCCATAGTAGGTTGCACAGGTAGGCGTCCAAACAGGTCTTGAATATCTCCAAAAAAGGAAACTCCACAACCTCTCTGGGCAGCCTGTTCCAGTGCTCTGTCACCCTCATCTTAAAGATGTTCTGCATACTTGTATAGAATTTCTTGTGTTCTAGGTTTTTTGCCATTGCTCCTGGTCCTACCACTACACAATGCGGAAAAGAGTCTGGCCTTATCCAACTGCACTGATCAATGTTTATAAATAACTAGATCCCCCCTCTGTCTTATCTGGGCTGAACAGATCCAGGTCTCACAGCCTTTCTTCGTGTGGGAGATGCTCCAGGCCCTTCATCATCTTTGTTGCCCTCTACTGGACTCTTTCCAGGGCCAGCAGTGACAGATGGACAACCTGAAGGAGGGTGGCAGCATCTGCTGGGGAGTCTTTAGGAGTGCCCCCTGCTGTGATACGCTGCTTTCTGTATCCTGAGGACTCAAACCTTCTTACTGCTTTGTGTTCTGCTGGGAAAGTGCCCTGCCCTGCTGGGACAGGGACAAAACCCAGTCCCTGAGAATGAGTCTGCCTGGAGAAATTTCAGGAGCTGGCAGAGGGCCTGACTGCTTTAGCAGGGGGTGGATCCACCCAGCTGCACTGGCCTTGCTGGGGAGGTAGAAGAGAATGGTGGAGCACGAGCAGCTGGAGGGCTCATCAGCAACTATATGAAGGGGCAGGGCGTGTAAATTGCAATTGCAGCTGCTCAGACATCCCCTCAAGTGAACTTGGGGGGGAGGAGGTGCTGAATGGAAGGAAAGAGCCTGAAGCAGAGTACACTCTGTTCCACCTCCATGTGTTAGCAGAGATGAGCTGCCTACTTTACCCTAATGGTACATTATGGGGATTATTTCTTGACTGCCTTAAAGAAATGAAGTAAACAAGATTCCTTGCTGTGAAGCCAGGTTTGCAGCTGTGAGTTTATCCCCAGTATGTTTGGCAAGGTGGGGATGTCTGTGGATAGTGTTGTACAGAGGCTGCTCTAGGAGTTCCTTCTTGCTGGAGGACAGGCCCTGATGTTTCCTTTGGTTTTCCCCTCTGTAGAAGCTACTGCTTGGTCAGCACAATGACCAGGAGGGATGTGGGGAGATGATGGAGAGGCCCTGCTTGCCTCAGCTGATGACACTGTTCTTCTTCCCCTGTGACATGCTTGTTCACTAGGGCCATGTGGAACTCTGTTGCAACTGTCTGAACTGGAAACGTGACAGCTTCCTTCTCCCCTTAGTTTGTGGGACAGTGACAGTGGGGCGACTGGTCACGTAATTGATTAGTTTGAAACCTGTCTCAGAATTCTGAACAAATGCTAATCCTGCAAAGTGAACATCTGGGGAAGGATAGGAATGTGGCTGGAGCTTCAGAGCTGTCCCAGCACAGCCTAGCAAAGGGCAGGCTGTGTGTGGGGATAGTGTGGCATCACTCACTCCATGCTGTGAGATGTGTCTAATGAGCTGCTACGTGGGCCCCTGTGCCTTTAAAGGGCAACCAAAAGGAGACGGTGAGAACAGTGTGGTGGAACTGGGGGCAGAGATGATGCTCAATGTTCCTGTGATGCTAGCACTCTGTGGAGACACTCATACCACATCAAAAGGGGCAGAGCAGCAGGAGCTGCTGGGACTGTCCATGTGTATGGAGGGGGTGAATGGTGATGTCAGTGACTATAATGTCATTTGGGACATTTTTTCATCTCTGACTCATTCTGTGCAGGAGTTTCACCCTTGCAATCTAACTTTGAATCTGATATTTATTCCACCCACAGCCCTGTTCTCTCTATTGCTTGCATGCTACCCGTATGTGGGGGAGAATTATTTTTTTTAAAAGCTCACCCCTGGCCTGGTTGGCATCATGGCCTTTGGCTGGGCAGCCACAGTGCTGAGTGCTTGCTTGTGGAAACCTGCAGTACCACAGCCCTCAGATGCTGCTTGTTGGCTTACATCAGCAAGGTGGCTGCAAATGTTGCTAAGCAACTGCATATATAAATACTTTTACACCCCAAATTTGCTGTGTCTGGTAACCCCTGTGGTGCATCACTGCTCTTTTGCTGCAAGGGTGTGTTTGTTTTGGGTGCTGCTAGGAGAGGGGCCGTGTTGTCACCTCGGGCTTCTTGGCCCATCCCCTCAAGCTGGGCAGACCACGTTTCTCTAAGTCGCCATAGGGAGGCTGGAGCTATGGCATGAGCAGGGAGATACTGGCCTGTGCAGCTCAGGAGTGAGGAGACCCTATGTTGACTGCATTATTTCTAACTATGCATTCACTGCAGTGCAGACTGCTGCCTGGTAACCATTCTCCTGTTTTCTTAGAAGCAAGAAGAGCATACATGGGGCTGCTGAAGGATGGGAAGTGGCTAACCAAAATTAAGGCAACTGTAGCCTCCTAACTGTGCTATTTCCTACATGCCTAGCTGCAAACTCAGTCTTTCTGGAGACTGCAGTGTTTGTTTACCAGAGAGCAGCTACTGCTTTAGTAGTGAGTCCCATATGCTCTTCTCACAGGGTCTCCTCTGAGCAGACATTCCCTGTGCCTCCCTGTTTTCACAAGCCCTCCTGCTTTTTCCATCCCCACCATCCATAGGACAGTCTGTTGTATGGTGGCCTCCCAAGAGGAGGACAGGCGTGCAGATGTGAGTCCTGGAGAGGCCTTCATGGTGGCTGGTGGAGGAGGATGCTTCCTCAGCCTACCACAGGGCTGATGTTCTTTCATGAAGCTGTTCTGTCCTGGATGGATCTCCCCAGCCTCTTCAAGAGTGTGTATGTTAATAAGAGTCACTAATATCCTTCTGAAGAAATTATAGAGTAAGGAGCTAATTTTCTTCTTTACATTCAACTATATTAGGTCAGTCCTGTGATGGGAACATACCTTGAGGTATTTCTACACACATCTAAACAAAAACAGCAAGGTAAGGAGCTATTACACTTCCTGCCCTCAAAACCATATAGTGAGAGAACCTCATTATTGAACTGTAAGAAGGTTATTGAGCTCTGTATTTCAGCAAAAGTTCTCCCTCATGCATGTGTAATCATAGCCCTCCAATTCTGAAATGCTTATATTCCCACTTTGAGTAGCTCTTGCCGGGCTGAGATCTCACAGCTCAGGGCTGGGTGTGCTTGCTGATATGGGGAGTCGTGTGCCCCGCTGCATTTAGGAGAGTAACCACATCCTCTGAAGGGAGGGGAAACATTTAGCCCTCCAGACAGTTGGGCTGGCCACAATGATGTAAGATCTCTCAAAATACTTACAGCATAACCTAACCCCAGGAATAGCACCTGCTACTTCTCTTTTCTGACAAGCCCTCTGGCACATTTTGGGGGAATTGTTCCATGTTTACAGAAATGGGAGATATAGGGCACTTTCAGGTCCTGATTTAAAAGAGTATTTTCCAGCACGCTTTTTAGCTGTGAGGCACGTGAGAGCAGGAAGCAGATCTTTATGTACTTCGCATACTTCCCCTCCAAACAGATCATCACTCTGCACCTTCTCAGAACCCAGCTCATCCTGTGCTGGTTTGATAATGTGCATTCATCTTTGTAGCTATGTTGTGAGAGACTACGCTGCTTTGCTGAGTGTCTGTGGACTGTGACTGTGGTATGACTCAGGCTGAGTCCTCCTCAGCCATTTCTTCCTCATATCTGGGATTTATCTGAATCAGCCTGCAGCCATGCTATAGCTGCTTCGCTCTCTTGGCAAGAAACATGCCTCTGTTAAATGGCGTGGCTAGAACTCCTCCAAGAGGAACCTGCAACTCAGCAAGGAGGAAAGCAAGAGTAAGCTTTGGCTGTTTCTGTCTGTTGAAACAATTCCTCAGAAACAAACTGCCTTCCCAGAACTGAAAGGGATGATGCAGACCAATAGTGCTAGTCCCATCACCCCTCCACCTTCCTAGGTCACAACTTCCACCATAGAGACAGCATATTCTAGAAGTGATGTCAAAGAGGGATGTGAAACCATGGAGTGATCTAGTGGGGAAATACTAGACTTGGGACTTCACGGGTCATCATTGCTCTGGCAGTTCTCCAACTGCTGGAAGGAAAGGAAGAAAAGAGGGAATCTGCTTGGGGTGGAGCTGCAAGAAGAACTGTAGTTTAGGCTGAACTGCTCAGGTTTTGACTACAAGTGAAAGGAACATGACTGCAGAACACAGCAAGATGGCCCTTATGGGTGACCCATGAGGCTAAGGACTATAACAGCCACAATGCGTTCAGCCTACCTGCAAGGAAGAAGAACAATGCAAGGATCAAGTTATCAAAGCTGAAATAGGCAGCTGAGGGGGATGGAGGTCTCCATCAAGCACAGGGTGTTCAGAGAACCAGAATGAAGGCGCTTCTCAGTGACCTTTCAGCATCCACTACAGCACACAGAGGTTTCCTCAGCTATACCACCTCTCAACAGGACATTTGTCCGAACAGTAAATCTCTCCTGGACTATCTTTTAGGATGCTCTAGTATCCAAGAGCTGCATCCCTGCTCTAAATAGAGCCCGATGGACTTTTCCAGTGTGAACTCCTTCAGTGACTGACTTAATTCCCATAGTAAACAGTGTACTACTGCCTGCAGTGCCTGTCCATACAGATTGCAAAGTAGTGAGTGATATCTGTAGCAAATTGATGTCTGACTTCATCCCCAAGGTATCCAAACACACAATGGAGGCAGTGGCAGCCAGCACAGCATCCTGTCCTCTTGCCTCAGTAGGTCACTTCCCTGGATTGTTCTACTCTGCTAAGGACAAGAGTTGGCTGCTGGCCATCCCTGGGAACAAGGAACAGATGAGTATTGCATGCCTCTAAGCCAGTGGAATCTCATTCAATAGCAAAATTCACCTACAGCACTGAACAACAGTAGGGAAAGGTTATCCAGTCTCTCTTGGCTTTCTCCTGCCACCTTTCCCCCCACTTATAAATAAGATGCTTTCCTGAACTTCCCAACAACAGCAATATCAGCTGGACCAGTCGCAGGAGTCTGATATCTTTTCTGGCCTACACCCCTTTGTCTGATGTTGCTAAGACTGCCCAGGTTGGGGCAAGACTGATGGAGAACAGAGAAACAAAGCTGATCCATATTCAGGCTCCTTGCTGGCTTAGCTGGCATTAACCTCGTAATTAAACTAATTAAATGAATACGAGCACAGTGGAGTCCTGTATCACCGTCCCTCTGGCACCAAGTCTACATTCAAGCAGGGAGCTAAGCCTGCAAATTCTCTCAAACTCTCCTCAACACAATCGCCTCAGATTTTCTGCACTGAGGCAAGCAGTCTATTCATATTATTTGCAGTGATCTTTGGACTTGAAATATCTTTTCTTCTGTAATTCTTGTAATTCTTCATTTTTGTTAATATGGTGACCAGCCACATGCTTATTTTTGCTGCAAGTCTCACGTTACTTTTCTTGCTCTGTGTGTACTACCACTGCAGGTTATGTTTAGAATTTAAAGAAAAGGGCTCATTATGAGATGATGCCAAGGAGAAAACTGCTGTGCACAGGGAATGGCATGAGACTGGATACTCCCAGCTCTGCTCCTTCCCTCCTTGTCTGACCCAGCCAGCCACGTGTTTCCAGCTTCTGCTATTTCAGGTCTTCCTGTTTCCCTAGAACAAGCAGCTTCCCAGCACGCTGGGGATTAAACACGCAAATGTAAGGCTGTCACTGCCTTCATGTGATGGGTCTGACATTCTTCTTCTGGTGAAGCTCTTGGACAAGTAGCATAGGAAACAATGGACAGGAAAACAGGGAGAAGTTGTCTGCCTTCCCTTTCCGTGGCCCCTTGTTGTGTATTGTTTGTACGTGCCTGCATTTGTTTGCAAGTACCACCAGGTCTGAGTTTCTGATACTGAAGTTTCTCCATAGAGCTGCCAAATGAGTCACAAGGGAAGTGCTTCTCTATCAAGCACAACATGGTGGCATGGTGGAGCGGACCCTTCACCTTTCCATTCTTCCCTGGTTCCACATCTCTGCTTCTCTCTCCCAGACAACATTGCTTTTCAGAAACTCAATTTTCTGCTGACATTTTCAAGGCTGTCTCAGGCCTTTTGCATATTATGCAAATATGAAGATAAATCCTGATTTCCAGAAGGAAATAAATGATAAGTTCATCTGATGAGAAAATCTCTTCTTCCACCAGGAAACACTCTGAGCATGAGTGGAAAACAGTGGAAGGCAAAATCCAGTGGCTCCAACTCCCACAGAGGCAGCTGAGAGTGTGTACCCAGTGCATGTCTAAGGAGGAAAATACCAGGGGTACCATTTGCAAAGCTGGAGAGCAGATGGATGTGCTGGGGCTGGCTGTGTCCAGCAGCACAGCCTGAAGTTGAGGCGAGAGAAGCTGGTGCTCATTTCTTGCCACTAACTACTGGAAGAACCTGACTGAGCTGTGTAAAGATCAGCTAAATCAAGGGTTTACTCCTTAAGGACTTGTGGCTGAGGCTTACTCTTCTGAAGGGTTTTCACTTCCATGTCATGATGCTAATGCCATCTTGTGTGGCAGGTGTTATGCTGAAACCAGTCTCTTCTCCCATATCCAGAATAGGAGTGTAGCAAGTCCCACCATGATTTTCACCCTCCTTGTGACACCCCCTGGTGCGACATGAGAAGCCTGAAATTAGCAGGGTTTTCAATTAAGGACATGGGATTTTCCTCATGCCATTAGAGAAGCAACTGAACAGATGCTCCTTGGGGAAATAAACACATTTGCACAGCACAAGAGCTGTTTTCTGTCCCACAGAGGAGCTGGGCTTGCCCAGAGTTAACTTCAAGAGACTCTCCAGCCACATGGACTCTGCTCCCAGGACAAGGGACAGCCTGAAGTTTGCATCCTTTCCCCTTGTCCTCGTGCCAGCAGGGGTCCACAGAGCTGCCTACTGCAGGACTCAGTCTCCTGCTGGGAACAAGTGAGTTCTGGTTCTATTTCTTCACTTTGCTGTGTCCTAAGCATGGCTTTGTGCTGTTCTGGGATGATTCCCAGTGAGGACCAGCAGCGTTGCCCAGCTCAGAGAAGAAATCAGCTAAGTTTTAAGCCAGTTTCGGTGAGAGGAAAAGAAGCCTCCGGAGGCTCAGGCAGTTTCCTAACTATCTTCTGATGCCGGGAGTCGGTGACCTGCGGAGCAGATTGGCAGCGACAGGTAAAAGACGTCAACGGAGACCGTGAGCCGTTCAGACCGCGGGCTGCTCCTGGCTGCACCACTGCTGCCCTCTAGTGCTGCCAGAATCTGTGCCTCTGCCAGTTCCCGGCCAGACTGGTGTGATGGTTGGGGGCCTGGTGAGTGGGCCATGGTAGCTTGCTGCAACAGGGGAGGCTGCTGGAAATCTGGAATCTGGAATCCAGGGACTCTGCCTGGTACTGTGTGCTGGGCTCATGATACTTAACCTCTCCAAACTGCTGCTCCAAAGGCCTTAGTGGTGTTAAGGATGCCAATACGCTGAGGATGAGAGGCTGGTGGGAAAATCCCAGTAAAGCCTGGTGCTGCAAATCCTACACAGCAGCCACCAGCGAGTAAGAAAGTGCCACTACATCACAGCACTCAGCCCTCAGAGATGGAAAGGAGAGAAGTGTGGAGAAGGCACAACCCCAGGACATGTCAGGAGCGGCAGGAGCCCGCCATTGTCATGGCACTGAGACAGCCTAGGGATCTGGGGTCCCTGCCTGGACCTCCAGGCAGGATCTCTATTCTCTGCCTGCTGGCTGCAGAGCCATGCTGGGAGATGTGTCCATGCAGGTCAGCCATTCCCTGGGAGCCCTGAGCTGAAAGGAAACTGGATTTTAGCCCCCAGAGCCAAGATGACTATCTGAGAGGGTCAGGGTGGGGACAGAATTGCAGAATATCACGAGCTGGAGAGTTCCTACAGGGATCAGTGAGCCTGACTCCTGGCTCCACATAGGACCACACAAAAATTGGACCATGTGTCTGAGAGCATTGTCCAGACACTGCCCCAGCTCAGTACCCTTTCCACGTGCAGAAGGGATGAGGGCTGCTGGGCATAGGGCATCCTGTGCAGCAGCACTCATGACAGCTGGGCAGCATTACACAGCACGTCCATCCCAGCATCTGACATTCCAATCCTAGCCACGAATCACCACCTCGAACTGCTAGCTGAAAAAGCCAAGACACGGGTCTGGGGATCCTCTGGGCACAGAAAGGGCTAGCATCTTTTATAAACATTTAACGGATCTAAAAGGAAAGGGCTTCCGACGCTTCCCCACTCGGCCGCCCAAACCCAAGATGGCGCTTCCCCACCCAGCCGCCCACACCTAAGATGGCGCCTCCCAGACGTACCCGCACTGAGAGCCCCGCCCCGCCCCGCCCCCTAGCCATCCGTTCCGGCTGGACATGGCGGAGCGCGCGGACCGGAAGGGGGGGGTGGGAGTTTGTGACGTCACACGGCAGCGCCGCGGGTGGAGCCTCCCGTCGCGCGGAGCGCCGGAGGAGGTGGGTGTTGGGCGGTGCTGAGGGCCTGGGCAGCCCCGGGCTGGGAGCTGCGGCGATAGAGGGCGGCTGCGGGGCCGCTGTGCTGCGGGTTGTAAAGATTTCATCCGTGGAGGTTGCTCTTAAGGCTTCCAGCTGGCTCTAGAAGCAGTTGGTTGTCAGCGGAGCGGCTGGAACGAGAGTTGCAAGCACTGAGGAGGCCGCTGGAGCCGGCTGCAGCCCCGGCGTTTGTGTCGGTTACAGTGGTTGAGGTGGCTCCCCATCGTCCTGCAGCCTGAGCACAGAGGTCTGTGCTTCGCTGCGTCTGTGTGCCTCACAGCATTGCGTTTGGAAGCGGCAGGCTGTGGGTGGGAGCGGCTGTGCTTCCCTCGGGCAGCGCTGCGCGGTGCCGGGAGCCGCTGCTGCGGGCTGAGCCTGTCTGGCGCTCCGCTCCGTGCCTTGCCTTGCCTTGCCGTGCCTGCGCTGCGGCGGCTCGGGGCGCTGGGGCTCGGCGGGGGTTGCTTAGAGCCAGGCGTGCAGCCACACACTGTCTTCTTGCCGTTTGTTTTGACAAAGTGAAGTGGTTCGTGTGGTAGAGAGGATTACCAGTCCCCTCACTGACAACGGGAGTAAACAGCTTATAAATAACGAGGATGCGCTCACGGTCATTAGCCGGGTGTGTTGGTCTGTGACTGAATATCTATCACGTGGGGAGGAAAGGGAGGAGGAGGTGAATTGTTGCTTATTATTATTTTTTTTCTATTTTGTCTGCTAGGGAATAAAACAGTTCAAGGGAAGCTCAGAAGGCTGTGTGTTATTCAAAGTGCTACTGATAGTGCTGCTGATGAAGCAGGAATCCTGCAGGCCTCTGCTTTTCTCAGTGACTTGAAGTGTAGGGGAGGAGAAGCCAGTGTCAGTCTCCAAGGCAGTGAGCTGCATACATAAGTGGGACATCTTGCGCTTGGACCTCAGCAGCAGCAGGAGGATTCTACTCCGTTCTCTGAAAGGACACAGCAAATAGGCAAGTTTAAACCAAAATAATGGCAAACTGATATCCCTTATTGTGCTTTGACTATCTGCTAGGTCAGGTTGCATATTGCCTCTGCTGTTGTCATGGTTTGCTTCTTCCCAGTTTTGTGAATGAACTCTGCTCCATGGGAAAACAGTGTTATGTTCTAACCTATAAACATTTTTGAGTATGACAGTAAATGAAAATTGGCTCCTTTGTTGTTGCATTATATTCCAGGTTGAAAAACATAAAGTTTTAAAAATATATTTATAATCTAAAAGCTGATTTATTTTTTTATGTCTAATGATTTTTCTTGCCCCACCATGTTATCTCTGTAATACGGGCTTAATGCTTATGTCAGCTAACAATAAATTGGTCTTCAGTCCATACGGTGTCAGTGTTGGATCTGGAGGTGAGAAGCAGGAACTCTTGCCAGAACTGGCTCTCTGAAACTTCAGGAGATACACAGAATGGGAAAATGTCTCAATTCTCTTTACACATGCAGTGATGAAACTCCTGATGAAAACTCGACATCACTTCAGTGCCATAGAAGGGCTTTCTGTGTTATGAGTGTGTAGCCCTGAAACAGAGTTATAGGACTGTATTCTGATCTAGATGATAAACTGTCAGCAGTTTATCATGTGCTAAAGAGCATGTGTCTCATCTGTGTTTACTTGTCTGAGCAAGTTGTTTTTTTCTTTTCCACCTTAGAGTTCCAAGAAGTGTCTGAGCAAAGCAAGGAGTAACTGAGCCCTGGGAGAAGATACTGAAGCTCTTTGCTGAATAAATGTTCTTCTCTTAGTTTCAATTGGCCTCTCCTGTGGATGAATGCTGTTGCTCAGAACAGAAAACTTGAAGTAAGTGTTGGATCAGACAACTTGCTGTGATGTGAACCTTCCAGCAGATATTTACAGAGGAGAGTGATCAGTAGTCCAAGAACAGAGTGCTGCTTGGTGCTAGAGAAGAACAGTCTCTTTCCACTTCTTCTGATTCTACTGGAAGTGCAAATGAGCACGTGTAGCGTCCATCTCAATTTGTTTGGGTGCTCAAAGAAAAATCCAGTCTGAGGAAGCCTCTGGGAATAGACAGGTGAGAAATCTGTCAGCCAGAATTTAGCAATCTTTTAATACAATAAGTATAACCAGCTTCTGGGTGTTGTTAACTTTAATTTGTCCAAGTTTTAAAGCCTTCATTAATTTTGAAACGTATTCCTCAATTTTCTTTGTAAGCAAAATGAAATATTTATTTCTGTACTTGTGCAAAGCAGGTGTTTGCAAAATGCTAATGGTCATCAGGATTTCCTAATTTTCAAGATCCTTCTTGTTCACTTGTACTTTTAGCCAAATGGACCTGGCAGACGGGGGTGGCTGTGGGACTGGTTGCTGGTACTGGTGTGTGGGGGGCAGCAGAGATGTTTGGCTGGAGTAGTTCACTGCAGTTCTGACTCCATTTGTTCCTAGAAGAACTTGAAAAAGTACAGGATTTTTTTGTTTGTTTGTTTTTAAAAAAACCTTTTAAACAACAGCTCTATCAAATAGAGAATTGTTTTTAGTTACAGTGCAACAGCCTATCACTATCTTGCCTGCCAGAACTTGAACCTTGCTGAAGTGTCTCTTTCTAAGATAGTTTTCTGCCCCCTGCCATGGTGATAGGTGTAAAGTTTTTTGGTTGAAGACCTAGCAATTGGTTGCTCTAATATATCTGAATTTTGGATTTGTCTCTTCTGGATGTTTTTTTATATTGTTTTTGGTGTGGTGGTTTGTTGTTGTGCAGATTTCTTGGCTTTTTTTTTTTTTTTTTTTTTTTTTTTTTTTTTTTTTTTTTTTTTTTTTTGGGATTTTGTGGAGAACTACGGTTCTCCGAAAGCTGAAATGGACTGGGAGGAACACCTAACCACAAGTATTAGATTGCACCTTCTCAACCCTCCATATACATTTGAAAACATAATGTCTGATTTCATTCAGTCTTTCTGTGAATCTTAAATCATGATCTTAAGCTACCAGAAACCTGCGGAAGTTAGAAAAGCACCATAGGCCCTAAAATATCAGAACTCAATTTTCTTTTTTCCTGTTATGTTTTTAGAAGGTTGTTGGAAAGTTGTACTATGCAAACATGCTTTTATTTTCTCACGTTTCTCTGCTTTTACAACAGAACTTATTTTTTCTGTTGCCGTATGATTTTGTTGGCTTGATTGTATTTCAGAACTGGGGCTGTGCAATTACTGGCTAGAGCTGTGAGGCAAGATTTTCTTTTCATCTAAATATTTTCCTTCAGTAGCTCTCCAGCACTGCTTGGCTCTTTGAGATTTGATCCAGCTCTGCTGCATGGGAAAGAGGGGGTTGTTTGAAAAAACAAGCCACAAAGCCAGTCTTCAAATAAGAAATGTAGCAGCAACACCCAGTATTTTGGGAAATATTCTGACCGTGAAACAATAATGTTAGTGATGTATAATTCCTTTAGCTTTAGATCTCTTGGGAAATTAGAAAGCTGGTTGTGTGATTGTTCTGTTATGCTGTACAATCAAGAATGATGGTGGCATTCTTCTCTCTGGTATGGGGGCGTCCATCGGCTCTGTGGGTTCTCAAGGCTCATCTGTTGCTTCTGCACTTCTGTCCTGTAGCTGTTTCACCCTGTGTGCGGAACACCCCAGCACCTGTGTTATTTCTTTCCTTCTTCTGTGTTGCATAGTTTTCTTGCTCCATCCGTGGTACAAGAGTTATACGGAAGGTAACACCAGCACTGTCCCAGTGGGTTCTAATGATGAAAGACAGCAAAACTTCTGCTGTCTAGAACTGATAATCTTTAACATATCTACGTAGGTGAATCCATGGGATATGATGAATACCCAGCGTACCTAGACCTTCCCTTTCCTGTCCTTTGTGGACAACTTCATTTAGATGTTCTGCATGAGCTGAAGTGGATGAAGTGTGACAGTGCGAGGTGCCCCTGTAAAGGAGCTGCCTGCCTCTTAGGCTGTGCTTGAGGGCTGCATTCCACACCAGGTGCGTAAGGAGCAAAGAACTGAGGCTGGCTGATACTACCATCATGCTGTTCCTAAACTGATCCAGCTGGTTTGTCCAGGAGCTGGAATTCAAGTCTTAGTGCCTGAGTGCAGAATTTAACATTAGATGCATGAGTATTTATATGCATTTCCCATCATGTTTCTAATTATTCATGCTGAAATAACTTAGCTTTTTGATGATGCAGCATAGCTTCATGTGCACTTGTTTCTGAAGCACAGCAAACCATGGTTTAGGAAGATCATTTTCTGAATGAGTCCCTTGAGAATGGAACGTGGATATCATCCATTTCTTAAACAGTTTGGACAGCATTCATTGGCAAAGAAAGTGAGGGAGCTTCCCTAGGACCCTGGCGTGCCTGCTGCATGACACAGACTAGACACAGCAGTTGGAGTGACTGTGGTTAGATGGATAGTTAATGAGCAGCAATAAAGCAGGTAATTTAGTCTTCTGCAGTGTTTTATGCCCATTACTGTTAAGCTACCAAAGTTTTAGTCCTTGCCTTTTGAGGAAAACTATACTTGGATAATGTGAAGTAGCATGCAAGTAGCTTATTTCAGGGCTTGTGGTGATGCTGACAGTATTCTGTAGTTGTTGCTTTTCTGTATAGCTGTGTCTTGCGAGGTGATGTATATGATGCCTGTCCCTGCATGCTTAGAGTGAAGCCATCAAGGATTTCCTCGACAGTGATGTTTGTCTCGTTGAGGAGTTGATGAGACTGCCTGCAAGGAAGGTGGCTTTTACAGCACTCTGTTCTTACCTGAGAAGAAAGAAGTGGGTGTACTGTAGGGCAAAATCTGTAGTTCTCCCGCATAGAGCAATCTGCCGTGGAAGCTGCCTCTGTCTCTGTGTAGCTCCCTTCGAATCGAAGTTCAGCAGCCAATCAAATAAACTTTTTACTTGCTTTTGTAGGGAATGTACTTTTTCCTTCAGAAGAAGGAACGCTCAAGGCATGCTTGGGTAAAACACCTAGGGGAGATGAGGATACCCAGCCCTCTGGTCTGAAAGAGGCAACATATGGGAGACTGGGAGAAGGGTTAGATGAGGGAAAGAAGTTTGTTCATTCCTTCTTTCTGCCACTGACTTTCATGTTAGTAGTCCTTTTGCTTCTTCATGGATTTTTTATTTCAGCAAAAAATTCTTAAGAAATTTAAGTACTGTAGTGATATCTACAGAGGGTACGTGAAGTTGCCTTTCTTAAAAATAACATCTATTACAATATCAATTTTTAAACTGTTTTGAATAAGAAGGTGTACTGCTTTGACAAGTGGCAGTTCGTTTATGCTGTTCTTTGAGACTGCAAGAGCCATGTCCATAAAGGGAAAGTCCTTTGCTTGTGTCATGTCTATGATCTCTGAAGTGCTGTGTAACAATAAATGAAAGGTTTCTGATGGAACGTATATGCATTTAGATGTTCCAGAACATTTTATAGCAAACAGCATGGAAAATATTCAGCAAGTGTTGCAATAGGGTTTGAAACCCATGTGTTGGCTGTGCTAACTGTGGTGGTTAATGTCAGTGTTCCACCAGTAGCCTGCTTGTCAAAACCATCAGACTGCTAAGTGCTCTTCCTGAGAAACTTGCTGGAGATCAAGTAGAGGGTTAGGTGGCTTACTTCAGTTGCTTTATTCTTTAAAGGAAATTAACTTTGGGATAGTATGGAAATGTTGTTGTGTTTTGAGGGAGCTGAAGTTCTGCATAGCTGCAGGATGTTCACACACTGAAATTTGCAACTCCTTATATGATCTGACAGCTATGCTCTATTGCTGGAGAGTGAAAGGTGAACTATTGAATGTGCATCCTTGTTTAGTGGGGGACTGAAACACTTGTAGAAATAAGCAGTGAGTCCTGCTTATGTATTTCAGTTGGTGAGTAAGCCCTTGGCTACCTTAGTGTTTGTGTGCCAGCTTGTTCTGTTTCAGTCAAATGGATTTAAAAACTGTCAGATTGTATTTCACTGCTTCCAAAATAGCAATTTTATCCTCCCTCTT